CTTTTCCAGTTTCTCGTACCCTACTAACATTTTCTTTCGCAAGATAAAAAAATAGCCGAAGGCAAGCATAACAATCTTTTGAAGACTAGACATCCCATATTCAAGGGTTTTCAGATTGTTGAAACCATGAAAGTGCGTTTTATTTTCATCTAATTTTATCTGTATTTAAAACTGTTTAGCTTCTAATATTTCAAATTCATCTTACACTGAAGATTTATTCTTTGTTATTAAACTATGAAATCAGAGTCTTACTTTGAATTCTGAACGTCTAATGTAGTTTTGCCGTATGTTTTCGTTCTTCTTTAAACAATGGGAAATAATCAGACTTGTTAGTTTTTTTAATCCCCTCGAAGCTTTTTTGATTAGAAATCATTTAAAATGTCGGTACTTCTTAGGACTTTGAAAACCTCGAGCATCTGAACTTCTTGAAAGTCAAATAAGTCAAAACGTAAATTCCTATGAATTCGATTTTATTCGCATTTAGATACATAAAGTAAGTAGAAGAAACCAAATGAGATAATGCAGTTTATTTTAACGCATAATGCAATCAGTTAATGTAGTAGTTTATGAAAGATATGTGAATTAAATAAGAAGAGTAATAATTATTTATCAGTAAGTTCACTTAAATTTAAAGGAAAAAATTATAAAGTGTATTAGAAATTAAAGTTGCCAAAATTAATGAAAATCGCATATTTAAACTTATAAAGATATTCTCTCCCTTCTTTCTGCGTGTCTTCGTGGTGTAATGGCCTTCGGTAAGTGATTCATCGGATTTCAGATCATTGTTTTAGTATATTACGCATATAAGTATATTACGCATATAACAGTAATTGATGGATGAAAAGATCTTGAAATCTCACTCGGCGCATATTCGAGAGGTCCGAGGTTCGAGTTCCGGCGAGGGCACTGCGCATTTTTCATCTGCTCCTGCTTTAAAATAACCTAATGGCTCTACAAACTTACATTTTTACAAAGCAAATTAATTAATAACGCCTGAATAGATGTAAAACATGTTTCATTTTGTTTGCTAGCTTTACCAATTTTATTTTTCAGTTTTGCTAGCTTTATCAAAATATCGGCGGCCATCCAACAGTATTTCCGAATCGGATTAAAAATTGGACAGAATTCTATTAACTTAAAATTAACTCAGTCCCTTCCTCCTCCCCCCCCAAAAGTAACATTTTATTCGCTGAGGAGTGACTATTTGACTTATAAAGCAGCGAAACATTGGTAGTTTTAATCGGGTTTTGTTTCCAGCGGTTGAACTGTGTTAGCTATGTGAAGTTTTCTTCGTGTATTACTTAAGCGCGAAACAGGTCCTTAATGAAAAAGATGTCCTTAGAAAGTCCTGAATAAAAGCATACTTTCTCCTTGCCAAATAGGCCTAACGTGCTCTTAAACATTTTAGAGTAATGCAATCCAGTTCGTACATGTGCACTGTTTTGTTCGTACATGCACATTGCTCTATAAAAATTACTGTTAAGTGATTCATTTGATTTCGGATCATTGTTTTATAAAGTATATTATGCATATAACAGTAATTGATGCATGAAAAGATCTTGAAATCCAGCAGGATTTCCTCACGCGCTATAAATAGACTTCTGTCTCCTTTGGTTTACATGATAGGCTTCGAAGCAGTAGTTTAGTTTGGTTTGTGTGTTCTGGATCATTCTTCTCTCAGTAGAAGATAGTAGCTCTACCTGTGCTATTGGCAGTAAAAATATACTTGAAAATATAATAGTCCTTAAAGTACTTCCAAAAAAGTCGTACGGCGTTATATCAGTAAATTGGGACGCCATGCTGCAAAAGATATGTGGATCAAACTTGGACCAACACATTTCTATGTGTGTAAGGAAAACTTGATGAGTTTCCAGTTCTTTGTTGTATCACTTTTAAAAACAAGTATTCTGAAACCCAGTGAATCATTTAAGTAGCCTTGTATGTATGTACTTGTGCGCAAACTGTTCTACTCATTGAAGTTTGCAGTATGTCTGCTGAAGGATGGAAAAGGAGAGACATATTTCAAATATCTATTTACTGTCATAAAAACACATTGATTTCCTGGAAAGCCTGTGCATATTTTATACTTAATTATATGTTTTAATTTCCGTTTTGACGTGCGTTTACTATTCTGGTGAAGCTGATGCATATTAAAAACAGGAAAATTGACGTTCTCAGAACGGCCATTTAATGGACTTTTCAGTAGAATAACTTTTTAGCCTTCACTAATATCCAGATGTAAATTAAATCAATTCGCTTATTCAGTGTTTGAGTTTTAAATGTATTTGGAAGACTTTATTGAATGGGTAAAATTCTTCTGATTTTCTGAAGTAATCTGCTTTCAAAAGGTATTCAAATTTTATCATATTTATTGTATTTCAATTTTACATTCAATGGAAAATATATTTTCTTTTCGTAAAATTTTTTATCTTAAATGTTCATGTTCTTATTCATCTATTGATAGGCGAAGGTATTAAAAGATGTATCTTAAATGAGTGTTTATTGTGTCATATTATTAAATTATTACAATTTAAGCACATTTTAATTGCTTAACTTTTTCGCTTGCACGATTTTGAGACTTTCCTCGTGTGTAATATGAATGCAAACGTGACCAGTAGTTTTCTTTAGAAACTCATTCTTTATCAAAGCTGATAACTGTTGTGTGTTTTGCGGTAATGATCTTTTTTCTTAGCAGTTTATCTTTCCAGAGTTCAAAATGTCTAAATTCTGAGTAGATCAGATAATCTTCATTTCATCATTATTACGCAGTCAATTTAGTTGTTGTCCTTCCTTTTTTATGCGTGGCGTAGTGGTTAAAAGCTGTTCGCAGTTTGGTTCGCAACTGCTGAAATGGGCTGATGTCATGGTATTCTAATTGTTCTTCTAAAGCGCAGCTTGCCGTTTTCTTTGCGTCTTCCATGAAAGCATCTCTTCCTTTAGGCAGATTTTTCTCTCTTCTAATTACTCTATTGTCAAACATGGAAATATTGGGAAAGAATAACTCTTGTGTAATTTTGCCTTTTGTCACATGATGTGAAACGTAATAGTAGGAGTACTATGTAAGGGAAAACAGGTACTCTAAACTCTAGAGATGCTGAAAGTTAATTGGTTAAAAGATTTACAATACGCAGCCTTTTGTAAACGAAGGGGGAGGAGAAGTATTTCTCCCCGTTGTGATAAATCTGATGCAAAACTGCTCAAAACAGTCTCAGATGGAGAGGTGCTTAAAAGCATTTCTAATATCTAAAAAATCTGATGTGTACACCGCATGACTTCCTTGTACGGAATATTAAATTATACGCATTTTTTTTTCCCCATTTCATTTAAACTTATTAGATTGAATTAAATCTACTTCGCCGACAGCGCATAAACTACAATAGAATAAATGCATTCTTTAAAATTCTCTTTGTTTACCATAGCGAAACTCTGGCGCTAGGTTTACTTAACAGTATTATATTTCGTTCATATTATAACTCAGAATGCACAAAATTTGTCATTTAAAGAATTATCTAATCGTTGCCACATGTTCTATTCAAATACTATAATAAAGCTAGAACTATGTATAAAAGAAATTAAGAAAACAAAACAAAAAAGAAACAGTTTTTCACAGACGATTGAGTATTTCTCATTCAATTAATTCAGTTTTTACTTCGCGATAAGGCAAAAATACATAAAAACTCAAAATATCTGTATTAAAAATTACAAAGTAAATTTTAAACACTTATTTCCTCTAAAAAATTCCAGAAAGGATTAAGCATGATTTAAATAATAAATGAAGGCGTTATCTTTGTTGTTGCGAAGCTAAGTTTCTCTAGATTGGCAACAAATCCGCTACTCAGCTGTTTCAAATGTAAAGAAGAGCAATGGCCGCCATCAAATTAGGCTTAGCGGCACTTGAACAATTTTAAAATTGTTGATAATTCTAAGAATATTGATTTACTAAACATACAGATTTACTAAAGGCATAAAACCCTTAACCGAAAAATAAAAACAACATAATTCAATCATTTTTAAAGCAAAAAATGTACAATTTACAAACATATAAGAGTAAAGAAACTGAAATCACTGAGCCGGGTAACAGAGTGGATATATTTAAAATATATTTATATACGTTTGGCGCGGCCGATTGAAACCAATACGAGGTTCCACAGCTACCCTATAGTAGTCTTATATACAAAATTTCAACCTTCTGAGGCTACTCGTTTTTGAGTTATGCGAGATACGTACTTACATACGTTCGTACAGACGCCACGAAAAACTCTCTTCAGATTCATTTTAAGCTGTTTTTAGTTTTTTTGGAGGAAAAGAGTCTTTTATTCTGTCCTTAAAGTATGCGCAAAAGTCAGTTATAGTAGTCTTATTACAATTTCAAAGGCTTCGTTTTTATGCGATACGTACGTACTACGTTCGTACAGACGCCACGAAAAACTCTCTTCAGAATTCATTTTAAAGCTGTTTTTTAGTTTTTTTGGAGGAAAAGAGTCTTTTATTCTGTCCTTACAGATATCACGCAAAAACGTCGTTAAATTGCATTCGAAAGCGGTCAAAGTGGATATTTTCGTTGGAAATATGCTGCCTGAAGCTTTTCGCGATTACAATACTTCCTTTTTACTTCGTAGAAGGAAGTAAAAAGAATGCCTGATAACAGTCTAATATATAACAGATTCCTTTATTACTGCAGTGAACCAGTCTATTCCAGTATACTCATTCATAAATACTTTTAATCGAAAATGCAGCTCCAAAGTCAATTTAATTTGTATAAAAGCGATAAAAAGGATAATTTTGTTTACATAAAAATCTTCTAAAAGAGGAAGAGTGTCAGATGATCGTTGTGGCGCTTTTTTGAGATTTCAAATGCTTTCTGTTTTGTCATAAAAAATAAATACCATACTTACTTGCGCATTTCTTCTTCTCTTGTATTCTCCCTCACCCGTAGCATTTCTGTTTTATAGTTTAAATATTTTTGATTTTTTTTCACGTAATTTTCTTTCTGATTTTAGGAAATGGACTTCTCCACAAGGATGACTGTGTTCTGAAATTTCTGTTACACGTGTATTTGCCGAAGCTTTTCATTTAATCCTTCGAATTTTAGTCAAGATCAATCTTCTTTCCTCTCGTAGAGATAAAAGTGAAATGGACAGTATTAAGGCAGTATTAAGGATTTAATTTTCAAGAGGGGTTAAAGACAAGAATAAAGTCTTTACACTGCATGGGAGTGGATATTCCTTGTCATTTTGATGTTTTTCTTTCTGTGCTCCTTCTTTAGTTGTGAATTACGATTAAAGTAGGATATGTTAAGTACTGAAGATGCATTCTCCAGTTTTAGCCTTTCTGTAGAAAGTTATTGTTATAGACCTCTTTATATAATAAGTCGCCTATTTAATTTATGTACTTTAACAAATTTTGTTTTTCCCATAATTCATGGGATGAATAACAATGTATAGTGTGTGTGTGGGGTTAAGATGGCAGTAATTGAAACAGTAATGCTGCAAGGAATTTAAGGCATTCCACTAATTGTGGCCTTCTGGTTAGCATAGCTAGGTAACTATAGAAAGTGGTTCCGCGATTAGTACAGTTTTCATTTTCCAGCTTCGAAAATATATAATAATCTCTACAATATTAGTGCATCTGTGTACTCTTTTTAATCGTATACATTCGTTTTATCCCCCAAACCTGTTGAAATGATATATCCGACTTAATTTTTATGTTTTGGTTGTAAAGGGCAAAATTAGCCCCCCCTCCCCCCCAAAAAAGCTGAGAACATTTCTACGTATGCAAATACTGGTACCATTATCATGTAAAATTGCAAATGTACGTATCGAAAAGCGAATGCTTCACTCGCTGTACGTTTACCATCAAGTCAGATTCAGTGTTAAATTTAATGTAGTAATACGTGCTTGTGAATCGTACCCGACATCAAACTTTGATAGTATCAAAGAAAATCGCATCGAAATCACCCTTAAAATTGATATTTGCTCAGTGCTGAAATGAAAAGCGATAGAAGTGGCTTGCTAGAAAATCAATTTTGAGATATCTAATTTGCGTTCCTTCTAGGCTGCCGTAGATGACATACAATTGCCGATTTCTTCCTTCCCCCGGACATAAAGTTTTACTTTAGTTTTTAAAGTGTCATATTTCCTGTTATTGAAGATTGCGTGTGTTCGAGTTCAGTCGCCGTCCTTCCTTGGCCAAAGCACTATACTTCACATGGCTTGCCTCTAGAATAAACGCACAGTTTTTAGCATTATTCAGATTAGATTAGATTACTAGATTCCGATTCGATCCGAATCTGAATCCAATCCGATTCAGATTATTCAGATTAGATGAGGGGAATGACGGTTTGACTTCTGATAAAAGTGGATTGGTAATGAGAAACTGGTATGGGCGAATTTCAGTGTATAAAAATTTCACATATATTTGTATTCTTAAGACCAACAGTGTGGTCTCGATGGCTTATATTGTAATCACATAAGTAGTAGAAAAAAAATGGATTTTTATTTATTGATGGTAACTAACAACAAATTCAGTAATTCTAAGAAACCACCTATTGAATTCAAAAATTCGTTTAAAAGTTTGAAGCAGTTAAATCTAAATTTAATAATTCTAAGACATCTTCATTTAAAGGCTATTTCCTTCTTACAATTATTGAAGTTTATAAGTGAAATTTAATATGTTTTTATATTGTTTATATTATTCAGGTGAACACAGACTTGCAGATAAGTGTTCAGAGGCTGTTCGCACATTTTTTAGACGATTTTGGTAAGCGGTAATAAAAAATAATTTGCTGCCAAAGAAGTAATTGCAATTGTACTATGTTTTTAAAAGTCAAAATTATCGTCTGTGGCTTGAAAGTTTTGTTTTTATTCAAAATGGCGAATTTAACAAAGCAGTGGTTCGAAGGCTACATTTACGCTCTTTCCGAAGAGAAATATGCATACTCCGTTATCCAAAAACGATGTGAGAGTCATGGTTTTGTGATATCTAAAGCGTTGATAGGTAATATCCTGAACAAGAAAGGATAAAAAAACGTCAAATTAGAACCTCAAGTGGGACAAAAATTCCAAACAAGTATCCAAGGAAAAGAAGTTGATTTTCGACTATTACAAAGGTACGTTGTTTAATGTTAAAAAAAAATCCCCCTAGTCAAAGGACAGTTGCAAAATCATTAAAATGCTCAGTGTCCACTGTAAACGTTGATTTAAATCTTAAGAAAGCGAAAAAACGCAGTGTGCATCGTCTTCTTCCAAAGCATATCGCTCAACGCAGGATACGCTGCAGAATACTATATGAGAAACACTTATTCAATGAAAAATGGAAAACAATTGTCACAATAGATGAAGCATGGGTGTATTTAAATGATTGTAACAAAAAAAGAGCCATTTATTATCATAAAAGGGGAGAAAAAAATTTAAGCACATTGTTCAAAGAATCGAAAGAAGGTTTTTCTAAGGGATTCATGATTGTTGCTAGTTTTTCTTATAATGGCAAGTTAAAAATAAAGAGAGTGCAAAAAATGTCAAGATTAACTCCAAATACTATCAGGAACATACACTCATGTCCATAAATTAAGGATAATTCGGAGTCACGCGGAAATCGAACTCTAAAATAAATATATCACCTGTAAAATCACTACACACATTTTCAAGAATCATATGCAAATTTCAGGAAGTAACCAGATGACACCGCTGGTACGTCAAAATGACGAGAGTGTAAGAGAGTGATATATAAGGAATACAGGCAAAGAAGTAAAATTGTTCGCAGGCGCTTTATAAGCATTTCAGTTCAACAACCGAATAGTTATGACACAAAGGACGCATTTGGATGATTTTTTACGTGGTAAAATTATCGGCTTTCTGGAATGTGGGCATACCCAACTGGAAGTATCAGACGAACTTGGAATTGCCCAGAGTGTGATCTCCAGGCTTTGGCAACGATTCCAAGATGATGGTAATGTGAGTAGACGTTACAGCACAGGTCGCCCCAGAATTACAACGCCGAATGAGGACCGGTATTTGGCAGTTACTGCCAAAAGAAACAGGCGGAGCACAGCCTCAGACCTGTCTCGTCAGCTCTTTTCAGCCACTGGTACGACAATTTAAAGGCAGACCGTGTACAGACACTTAGGGCAGATTGGTCTATATGCTCGTAGACCTGTCAGATGCGTTCCACTTACTGAAACTCACTGTCGCCTGCGGTTAGCCTGGAGTAGAGAGCATACATTGTGGACTCCGCGACAGTGAGCTTGTGGGATGTTTTCCGACGAGTCCAGGTTTAGCTTGCAGTCTGATTCTCGCCGGACTTTCATATGGAGAGCTCCAGGTACCCGTTACCACCAAGAAAACATCATTGAACGACACCGTTACGGTGGTGCAGGAGTGCTCCTTAGGGGGGGAATTATTCTGGGCTCCAGAACTGACCTGCATGTTCAAATTGGAACCATGACAAGCCAAATCTATCGGAACGTCATTCTGGAACAACATGTACGTTTGTTTCGGGGCGCCATGGGCGCATAATTTGTGTTTATGGATGACAACGCCCGTCCTCACTGTGCAAACATCGTAAACGAATGCCTTCAGTCGGAGGATATCACCCGTATGGACTGGCCAGCATTCTCACCGGACTTGAATCCAGTAGAGCACGTGTGGGAATGCTTGGCCGACTAGTTGCAGCCCGTCAACCTCCTCCTACTTGTCTAGCGGAACTTCGGAGAGCATTGCATTTTGATTGGTGTAATAACCCCCAAGATCAGATCGATAATTTGATACTCAGCATGCCTAGCCGTTGTACGGACTGTATTGCATCGTCTGGGAGACATACAATGTATTAACAATCATACCGAACATGTAATATTGTTTTTTTGTAATTTGCTCCAGGGAGAAAAAATCGCTAATTTTTTTTAATAATATCAAACATAGCATCTTTTCTTGCTCTATACCTTCTGTTTAATAAATAAGCTTTACAAATAAGTCAAATTTGTTTTGCTTCTAACACATCCTTTGCCTGATTTTGCATTATCCTTAATTTATGGACATGAGTGTATTTTATCGCCAATTTTTTTGAATGAAATACCATCGCTTTACCCACAGTGCCATCAATCTGTGAGACTCCATCAGGACAAAGCTAGCAGTCATACATCAAAATTCACTGTAAATTTCCTAAAAGAAATGGAACAAAAAAACTGGTATCAAGGTCATACCCATCACTGATATCCCTACTAAATCTCCCGATGTGCCACCTATGGATTTTTGTGCTTTTGGACTTTTAAAAACTGCATTATCCAAACGTTGTCCCAAAACCCTAACAGGACTCTGGAAAGCTGTTCTGGAGGAATGGGATAGAATACCTCTTCTGCCACTTCAAAAGGCATTATTATCCTGGAAATTGTGGTGTCGAAAGATAGTTCAGAATAAGGGATGTCAAATAGAACATTTAAAACCAAAAATTTTATGCAATTTAGTTTTGTGAATACAATATACATCGTCTAGAAAATGTGTGAACAGCCTCTGTATGTATACATGTCATTATGAATAAATGATCGAGAAAGATGCCTTCGTCGTATTTCAACCTTCCAATCTCGTATGGAATTTCCACAATTATCTGTCCCAGGATCAAGAAGTCTGGACCTTTTTGAGAGGCCCTAAATTCCGGGATTGGTTATCTATCCCTTTTGTCGACCGTAAAAGCAAGGTCTGCCAAAATCGTTCCAAACTGGCATTTAAAAAAAAAAAAAAAAAAAAAAAAAAAAAAATTTTTTTTAGAGGAAGTGGTCAAATTTTTGCTTCAAAATTAAAATGAGCTGATTAATGCTTCGCATTTAGATTTTAACTCTCAAACCCTTGTTCTTGTTTTCGCTCTGATTCTCGTTCACACGGAAGAGATTTATTGTCCATATTTCGGCAATTTATTTTTGTAGTTTTTTATGCAAGTAAAATACGTACTCAAAAATTTATTAATTTTAAAATTAAACTTTTAATGATCTTTATACGGTTCGTCAATACTGTTAGGAATTTGGTATTTAAAAAGCTAATGTAAGTTCAATTATAAATTAAATGGTTTTATTTCTCGAGTGCAGGGCGTGACGAATATTAAAAGAAAGCTAAGCAGGAAAATTGAAAATACTACAGCCCGTGCATTAAATAAATAAATATCTCTTTTTGATTTCGAGAAAGTACTGGAAAATTCTAGCGCGTGATTTTAAAATCTTATAAAAGGAGGAAAACATCTCAGTTTGTAGTTGCTGCTTAGTTTGTTGTTGTTTAGAGAACTGCTCTTGTTGATTGTAGCGAATTCGCGGATTAGCG